GACGAACATTCCTGGCTCCTCCTCACTCTGCCAACAACGTTTTGTATGATAAGTATTGTGTATATAGGTCTCATCTAAGTATACAACTGGTCGTTTTTCCACAGTGCGATTTATTCGTATTTTATTCAAATATCTTGCACGCCATGCGGTAATGTCGTGGCGTTCCATAAGTAGTTTTCGTCTGGATTGACATCGCTTGTACTTGAAACCAATTCTATTTAATATCCTGTGCAATGTTGTGATGCTTCCCTGATAATTGATGTCCTCTCGCAGAGCTGCCCGTAATTTAACCAATGTTGGTAATTCTTTATGTACGACGTAAAAACTGTAAATTTTTTGCCGGATAGCGCACAAATCGAACCCGTCTAAGTCGAACTTTTTCGGATGCGGGCGACTCTTCCCCGGGGTTACAATTTTTTTTGAAGTACACGCCGCTGTTACACCTTCGTTTGTAATTCTTGATACAGTTTTCTCTGACACACCTGCAATTAAATTATGAACAATTAAAAATAATAGTAACTTTAAGTTTATAATGCTTATGTAATATATGTTTTAATTTCAGTTACCTAGTTTCATCACGTTATGTATTTGTTCAATTTTGTCGTAAAAACGAATTTATATTATCATAAAACTCCCATCAATACAGCAAAAAATTATTAAATGGCAACTCTAAAAAGTACCTGTTATGGCGGCAACTCTCTTCCGAACATTGTTTAGTGGTATTAAAACACCTTTATTCTTTTGTTCCGCTTCACAGAACTCTTTCACCTTTAATATCAATTCTCGAGCCGAACTTTTTACAACTTTTGGCATTGTAATCAATATTTAAAATGCACTAAGATAGTTAAAAATTCACAAAAATCTACCACAACAAACGAACTTGATAACATCGACGAATGACAACATTGCCGACCTGTCAAATTTAGTTCCAAAAATATCCGCGGGACTTCTTTCATGAAAAGCACTATACTAACTAATATACTGTCAAAACGAGCGTATGCATAGAATTTCAAATTACCATCGACCATTTTCATATAACATTTTGATATTTCATATAAAAATTATATGCAGAAATATAATAAGGAGAGTAAATGAAAATAATAAAATATAACTTTTTATTTTATTGTTATTTTTCTTCAACTGTTCAAAATATTAAATTTTCATCTTTTGCTGAAATATGTTTTCATGTAGGGCTGGTTTTTAATTAAGTCGTGCTCGTGTTATATAGATCAACTTAATTTAATTGAAGATGGCAAGACAAAATGTTATGCTGTTCTCTTGTGAAGGCTTAGTGCCATAATTCTTTCTTCTTCTTCTATCTAATCAAAATAGAATATCAACTATCAACAGAAATGGTGAAATTTTAAGCAGCGAAGTAAGGGAAATCATACGTCTGCCACAAAGATATGCATATGGAAAATATTTTATTTTTATCTTTTACTGATTGTTTCTTATCTAATAAAATTTTGAAAATCTTAAAATTCTTCGAAATAAGTAGGTAAGTTATTCAAAAAACTTGAGGTCTTAGTATATTAAATAAACTTTTGATGAATTTCATGGTGTGCGATGTGCGACTAAAATCGAGTCAAAATATATATATAAAAATAAAAAATAAAATATGTTTATTATGGAACATAAGATACATGTATCACTTATTCCACGTCATTAAATTTGAAGGCATCCCTACTCATCGGCAAAGAAGACAGAGGGTGTAGGCCGAGAGAAAAATCCGGCGTAAAAAACTCTCGGTACTCTTTTAAAACAGCAAATCATCAAACAACACTTATTTAAAACAAATATCGCAAATTAATTAGAAGTAGCCTGTCTAGCACTAGTCCCAGGCCCTTTTATCAACTAGATAATCGTTGACTTTATAGTAAGCCTTTTTACACAGCTTTTCTTTAATACATTTCTTAAATTTATTGAAAGGCAGTGATAAAAGAGCCTCTGGGATTTTATTAAAGAAGAGTATCCCTTTCCCCAAAAAAGAATTACTAACTTTAGATAGATAGGGGAAATTGCAGCCTGCGTTTGTTCCGTGTATTAACATTGTGCGTATGTTCTATTCTAGTAAACTTATCACTATTTTTGTATACATACATAATATTTTCATAAATATATTGCGAGGGAAAGGTAAGTATATTAATTTCCTTGAATTTATCTCTAAGAGATTCCCTACATTTTAAATTATAGATTGCACGAATAGCCCTCTTCTGCAGGATGAAAATAGTTTCGACATCAGCAGCATGACCCCATAATAATAAGCCATAAGTCATTAAGCTATGAAAGTAACTAAAATAAACAAGTCTAGCTGTATCGACATCAGTTAGTGAGCGAATTTTTTTAACCGCGTTACTTCGCCAATCCGTTAATATGATAATATGAACCACTGAAGTTTTGAATCCATGGTGATTCCGGGAAATACAGTTGTATCATCCAGATTCAATTCCTCACCGTTTATAATTGGTCTAGTATCCATAACCCTTGCATTTTTTGCACAAAATTTAATGCATTTTGTCTTTTTTGCATTAAGTAGAAGGTTATTCATACTAAACCAATGGACAATCGAAGACAGAGCATTGTTCACATCGTCAAAATTTGTTATTTCTCGTTTGATTTTAAAAATCAAGGACGTGTCATCAGCAAACAAAACTATCTGATGTTTTCTCTCTACCATGAAAGGTAGATCATTTATATAAACAAGAAAGAGGAAAGGGCCAAGAATTGAGCCCTGTGGTACCCCCATATCTACTGCCAACCCAGAGGACCTCTTACCATTCACTTCAACCTTCTGAGTTCTTCCGTGTAAATAGGAAGTCAGAAGATTCAGTGCGGTATTCTTGATGCCATAGTATCATCAATTGCACAGTTCCTAAAATATCAAAAATCGTCGACAGTTTTGGTTTCCGAGATCCCTGGGTGACCTGACCTCTCTTGTCTTCACCAAGGTTTCATATTTTTCCCGGTTGCTTTGCTCTATGATACATACGATGATGCCACCCACTCTCCTGCACTACACCGGGAACCCAGAAAAATTCAAATCAATGCGCAAGTAATGTAGCTTAATATACATAGGAGAGACATTATTATCAACATACGGTATCTGACTAGTTTATGACAAATATAAATTAACTGAATTTTTGAAGCTTCTTCAGTTTATGTCTCTTTCTTATCTGGCAAGGTATGGGGTAACCAGTAACCAGGCCATGAAACGATTCATATCCTTTTTAGTATTAGTATTAAAACTGTAAAACTATATCGTTTTGTAAACCTGAAATAGAAGTGATAATTAAAGTAACTGCTGCTTCATTACATTATTTACGAGAGGGTGGAGGCTAACTAATGCATAGATTGTAAATATAGCTTATTATTTTTCACATTATTATACTTGCTCACGACAGCAGAAATATAATAATTGGTTTTACTTCAAGAAATATACGAGTATATGCATATACAAAACAAAGCATGAGAAATTTATATGTAATAAACTGATTAATTTATGAATAAATACTATGCCATCTACTGTAAACGGTAAGAACTAAGAGCTATTATATTGTAGTATATGGATCGACCATAGAACAAGAATCAGCATAGCTAAATCATGTCTTGTCGCAAACGAAGGAATGTGTTTATCCTTTGTTTTCTAAGGCCATCCTGATCGGTTAAAATGAGATAGAACAATATTTCTTATGTTTTGTATTATGTATGTAGATTGGCGACGCCTTTTGTCGGCATTATCTATAAATATAAATAAAATATCAAGCGGTAATGTGTTAGATGACAAGATTGTAAAAACCTTGTTTTTATTTTTTTTTAAGTAGTATATTATAAAAATCTGTCATAAAATGGATCTTCTTCACATGCACTCAAAGTGTCGTTTACTGCAGATAGAGATCTGTTTAGAGGAGCATTTCAACCGACATTGGCCCGAACGTAAAAGAACCGATGTGTGTTTTGTGTTTCTCTTAAGGTTATTTAAAATTTTGTAAACAAAGATAATTAGTTTTTAGTAGGTATTCTATACTAATATAATATATCTGTGAACGTTACTTAAATAAACATTTTACACTAATTTATAAATACCACCCTAAACTTAAATATTACCTTTCAGTTTTTCTTTACTTTAATTATTATAAATAAGAAGATTGGATATAACATTTTAAGGAACAAAAAAATAATAATTTTCAGTTTTATGTCGACGCTGGAAAGTAGTAATTAGGTGAGATTATCAGTCAGGATCGTCGAACATTTTATCTGAAAAAAAAACTGAAAAACCGAATGAGTTTGCAATAAGTTTATTTTAAACTGGTAAAGAATATAATGAATACATTGTATAATAAAATATCACTGTCTAACTAGAATATAGTTTAAGATGTCATCAGCAGTAGCGACGCTTTCCGGAATAAAGTGATCTGTAAAATACATAATAATATGTATATTTTTAATTAGGTTCCAAACAAAATAGAGTGGCTTAAGAAAGCCAAGCAAAGTAACGAATTATTAAACACTTAAAGAAATAATTTTGTTTTTAAGATTAGATTCTTTAGATTATTAGTTATCTATTGTGTTAACTGACGTTTTATTTAATTTGTTTGTTATTCTGTGGTAAACACGCTAGTCTGCTGTCTGGCTTGTCATGTAAATTTTTATTAGAAGATTTTTTTGTTGGAACATTTTGGATTTTAAAGGAATTAAGTGAAAGTAATTGATTTCAAGTACTCTTTTAAAATAAGAAACTCTAAATGTTGTTGCTTTAAATATTTCAGCTAAACATTTGAGTTTCATTCACCATATAGGTACAAATATCAAGAATTCCTTAAAGATTGCTAGCTAGAGCTACTGGTCACCCACAACACAGGAATGTACTATTGTGGGGACCAGCGTCTGTAAAAAATTTAACAATAGAATTAAGATTAAATTATAAAGTTATTAGGTAATTGGATTAAGTTGCAATTGAAGATAAGATATTCTTCAAGCTCTTTCGATTACCTTCGTCATCTTTAGAAACATTGGTTCCAATAACAACAAAGTCGGTTATGTCCAATATCCTGGATAGCAAGCCGACACTCGGCATTCCTTTTTTTGCCATTCTTTGCTAAGATGTGACAATCTTTCACTAAGTAGTTGGTTACCGATTCATTAAAATCAAAATTTTCCGAATCTTCGTATGGGAGCTTCGTAGGGTTTGTTGCGTAATTTCTAAAGCTGTCTTTTGAAACAGCTCCAACAAACGATCTGAAATTATTTTTGCTATAATAATTTATTAATTTTCGTTTTAATTTATTTTAAAATATATATTATATATATTAGGTCCTTTCATATGAAATTGGAGTTTTGTATGGGAGGAACAAAAAGTTGATTTTTTTTAAATATAATATATTTAATTAATCAAAGTATGAACCATTGTTTTCTATGCACTTTTGCCATCTCATAGATAGTTCATTGATCCCTTTACTAAAAACACCAGTCGGACGGGAATCAATAAAATATGTGAAGGCGATTTGGATTGCCCCATCAGAGTTAAATTTTTTCCCTTGCAAGAAGTTGTCCAAATTTCGAAAAAAATGGTAATCCATTGGAGCAAGGTCCGGAGAGTACGGAGGATGTCTTAGACATTCCAATTGAATATAATATTATATTGAATATATTGAATGCTCTTCTAATTTGGTAGCCGTCTGTTGTGCAGTGTGTGGTCTAGCGTTGTCGTGAAGTAGCAGTGGCGTGGAGCGATTGACCAGCCTAGGTTGTTTAGCCGCTAGCTTTTCCATCATGGTTTGCAATTGCTGACAATAGACATCAGCCGTCTGGCCAGATTTGAGAAAACTGCAATGAACAATACCGGCACTAGTCCACCAAACGCTTACAAGTAACTTTTTTGGGGTTAATTTTCGCTTGGGGCAGGATTTGGCTGGCTGGCCAGGATCCAACCATTGCGCTGAGCGCTTCCGATTATCGTAAAGAATCCATTTTTCATCACAGGTAATGATTCGGTTTAAAATACCTTCATTATTGTGCCGGTTCAGTAATGTAACGCAGCAGTCGACGCGCGTTTGCCGGTTTGCTTCAGTCAATTCGTGAGGTACCCATCTTTCAAGCTTTTTAATCTTCCCAATTTGCTTCAAGTGTATTAAAACAGTTTTATCACTAACACCGCAGCCTGCAGCTAACTCGGACGTGGTTTGCGATGGATCCGCTTCCACAATAGCCTTCAATACTTCATTATCAACTTGGGTCTCAGGCCGTCCACGGGGCTTCTTCTGCAGGTCGAAATTTCCAGAACGAAAACGTTGGAACCAAAAACTGTGTTTTCTCTTGCAATATGACCGCCATACACATCATTCACCCTTCGAGTCGTTTCCGCAGCACTAGAGCCACGGCGGAACTCGTACTCGTAAATAATGCGATACGTTAAGTTTTCCATTTTGTAAGGTGAGTGACGCAAACAGAAAAAAACAGAAGGAAAAACAAATGAATGACGGTCATCGAAGCACAAATACATGAGTAAATAACTGTACAAATTTGAATTTGGAATTCCATACCAAAGAGGAGTAGCCAGTACGAAATACGTCAATTTCATATGTAAGGACCTAATATATATACTATACTATATGCTAGCGACCCGCCCCGGCTTCGCACGGAAGCAATGCTGATACTAAATTCAAAGTATAGAGTATAGGGAGAACCGCGGCCTCCGACGCGCTGCGTCCTGCAATTTTTAAATTTGTAATATCTTCGAAAAAATTCATTAAAATCATATGCTGTAAAGGGCCATATAGATCTATATTAAATCAACAATGTATTTAAGGTATTTAATTGGATAAGGATTAATGCTGTATTGCCTGTATTGTATTGGTTATAATCGCTTCGAAAATTAGCCATTATTTGTCGTAAAAAGTAAATGACAAAAATTTTTTATTGTGTGATATCCATAAGAGGTAGACATATTATACCATCGCGGAGTTTTCTGTAGACCTTTTCAATGTGTACAATACTTAGTACATTATTTTGATAAATCTCGTAGGGTTCGCAATGTAAGCGGAAAAAATGCAATTATTTACGACATCACATTAGAAACCTCAAAAATAACAGTATTTCTCCATCCATATTTAATGGATGTTATTATACATATAAACCTTCCTCTTCAATCACTCTATCTTTTTAAAAAAACGCATCAAAATCCGTTGCGTAGTTTTAAAGATTTAAGCATACATAGGAACAGAGAAAGAGACTTTGTTTTATACTATGTAGTGATATTAGCCTATGTTTAACAGAAATAATATAGTATTATAATGGTGAAATAATTTTTAATTTAGAAGTAGACATGGAGAGACATTGATTAGCTGTGCCAAAAATCAATCTGGAACTGTTTAGGAAAAACACCTTTTGTATGGCAATTAAAGTTTACAATAAATTACCAAAATAATTAAAAGATCTTCCGACTAGAGTCTTTAAAAATCGACTTGGAGTATTGCTTTTGGAGAAAATGTACTAATCAATAAACAATTATTTGCGTGAGACACTGTAGTTGATATAAATTTAATAAAGTATGATATGATATGTACGATACAATCAATATAAGAACTGACCAATTCATATGACTAATAATGTAAAATTTAAAATTCCTTTAAAGAAAAATTTGCGCGCCATTGTATGTGGCAGAGTATGCGAACTTACGATTGTACCACCTTGTACATTTTTGTACCACATTCTTGCATTAAATTATTATTATTATTGTAAAAAAATCTTTTGGTTTATTAGTTATGGAACATATTCAATGCAAATAAACAGACGGTGTATCATTGTAACCGTTTCCTTTATATTATGTGCCTGTAATTTTTATATAAGCATTTCTTACCCTTTTTCATTTACTACAACTGCTATATTTCCCTTTCCCATTTCTTTTATTGCCTGCAGACAAGTCATTTTAGAATCGACTTTTGGATATTCATGACCAGGAGTTATTTTTGTAATGGGGTCCTTCCACCAACTAAAAATTTTATAGCCAAAAGTTACGTGTACAATTTATACAAATATGTATATTGTGTAATCCACAGCGAATGCGCGTTGCGTTCGGGTAAAAGGTTATAAACTAGATGTATTATACCTCATAGTATGTTCTGGGGGGTCCAGAAAAAGGTGCGCTTCCATCCATTGATTGCAAACAAACTTTGTCATGTAGTTACGAATGCCGTCAGTCAATATAACCACGATACGTTTTCCCAAGCCTAGTTTCAATCTCTTTGCAGCTTTTATTGCGGCTGCCATCGCGGCTCCACTGCTTCCGCCTTAATAAAACATAACACGATATAATAATATTAATAAAATTCAGTAGCCAGTTCGAAACTAATTTGTTTGGCATACCACAAAGCAGTCCCTCCTTCTGGCAAAGTTCCCTGGCCATCAAAAATGATTCTTCATCGGTGACCACCTCGTAGCCATTTGCAACAGATTTATCTAAGACTATCGGTGCTTTAGAACCACCTATACCTTCAACCTTGAAATAGAAAAGTTAATTCATTAATATAAAGGTCCATCATAACGAGAAATACACATTGTTTTATGAACGCACAACGGAACAAGTGAGTGTCTAAGTGCGGACACAATTTTATGAAAATTTACTCCAACCAATATTTACTAGATTATTTATAAATATGTAGTAGATATATCATGTTAATCATAAAGACACACAGCACAATTAAAATACGTACGAGATACGGATGTTTCTTTCCATGAACATTAAATATGATAGAGCCGTCAGGCTCAGCTACAATAATATGGCAGTTCGGGTAGCGCTCTTTAATTTTATGACCCACGCCGGATAAAGTTCCTCCAGTACCAGTTCCCATGACTACCATATTTATTTCTCCCATAGCATTTAGAATTTCCTCTCCCGTGGTTTCATAATGGACTCGCGGATTTGCGTCATTTTCAAACTAATAACATGTAACACAGTACCTCAACATTATTTTATTTACTCACTTAGCTCATTAACATTTGATGTTCAGTTATGATTGTAACGCTTTAGGATTGAAGACTTACCTGGTTGAGTATAACCACATTTTGAAGGTCTTTGTCATGTATCTTGTGGGCTATTTCAATGGTAGATTTGTTCGTCTGAATTACTTCGGCACCGAGCAAACGCATGGTGCTGACTTTTTCATTAGAACTTTTTTCACCGGTAATAATTATACTTTTATTATCTGCAAACCAAAACAAATTTAATAAATGTTTTCTAAAAAAATAGTTTTTGTCGTCAATACCCATAGATATAAATACATAAATTAACACTTATCTTACAGGTATAATAGCGTAAAATTAGTAAAATGTAGTCTTTTAATGAGCATGTCTTACCCATAAGTGCTGCTTCAAAGGCAACTCCAATACCAGTATTTCCAGAGGTGGGCTCAACAAATATAGTTTTATCTGTCACATTACCACCTTGTTCGGCATCTTTCAGCAAAGCAAGCGCTGTACGGTCTTTGATGGATCCCCCAGGGTTTAGGAATTCACATTTAGCATCTAAATAAGTAACATTCAACATTTATTAACAAATCGACATGTATTTTTGTTGTGTCTATTTCACGTTTAGTTACTGATGTGAATATTTTTTATGGATAAACTTACAAATTTCGCATTCCAAATTGTTTGCTTTCGGAATTTTATTCAGCTTCACGAGTGGGGTATTGCCAATCAAATCCAATATACTGTTGTGTATTACGCCTTTTACTCTGAAATTGTGTTGTTTAATCAAATTCTTAATCAATCGCAGTAAATATATATTTTAAATAAACTTACGTCGGTTTCCAAAAAAATTTATCCCTGTGAGTTACAGGAAATTTATGCCCTGAATTAATAAAATTGTACATCGCGAAAGAATTATTTATTGAACATTTCTTATGAAAAATCAATTTAAGACGTTTTAATACAACACGAGCTATGTGTTAAATGTTCATTCATGTTAATGTTCAACTTACTTATCGAGTCGATATCAAGACTTAATTGAATAAGTTGCAAACAATACCTGATATATTCTTGCTTATTTTCATCTTAATAATCAATTTACACTTAAAATTGCGTGTACAAGTATGTATATTACTTTCTTTTGCTCTATTTTTTTATTTATGCAATATATAATTATACTATAAGTACACCAGTTGGTATTTTGAATTACATTTCTATGATGTTATTCAGTTTAAATTTTAAAGTTTACCAATGCAAATCAAATCAAAAGACTAACAAGGGAAGAAGGAAATAACGTGTAATTTAATTATATTTTTATTTCGACCTATAACTAATATTCGCCCTCACAAGTGACATCGTACCAACCTAATATGGTTACATTGCAATACCAATTTTAACAAAGAAACGACACACGATACTATGCACTAATGTTTCAATTTAATTCGATAATATTCGGTAAAACCCGACCACACTAGATAAACAGTAAACACCCGTTTTATTCGTAAGTACTAACGTATGAGCAGCGCATTCACTCTAAATTCCATTGTCTTTAATAAATAACACCAAGTTTTATCACTGCAAGTTCAATCACTTTGTCTAATTCCATTACTGTTTAGAATTGTCATAAAGCCAGTCCCAAAAGTGTAGCCGGTTTGATTCCGGGTCAATTCGCTGCGTGAAGTTCCCAGTTTCGGTAATATCGAGGTAATTAATGGGTTTTGCGGTATTGACGGGGAGCCAATTGAAATTCACTATTGACTCGTAGTCAACTGGGGGAGTTGGACTTCTGTAAATAAAAACACAAATGCAGATAGATGGCGACGAGTACTTCAACAACGCTTCTACATTGTGACATGCATTGTAGACAAATTTAAATAACGTATTATCAGACTAAAATATTTAGGATGTCAATAAATTATGTTGCCAAGACTATCTTTAAAAAAATATAAGTGTTACGGCGCCAATAAAACAAATTTTGGACCTTGCAGGCATACATAAAAATACAGTTATAGCCAATAATTTGACCTCGAGTCTTTCACCGAGCAATCTTTTTTATGTCTTATAAAAATTATTGTTTAACTTAAACATAAAAATATTTACCCAGTTTTAGCAAAATTTGCCCACATTTGTACCATGGTTCTAGAAACAGTCAACTCGGGTGACTCGCCATCTAGCCTGTAGTTGAGTCTTGAGAAATAGAACAGGTAGCCCAACTCATCGCCATGGCACGCCCCGGGGTACGTTATACCCAACATTCGTTTAAAGAGTCCTAAAGCTCCGTCAAAGGCAAAACGGTAAAGGTACGTCGGGCTCTTTGTCGTATTGGCTCGGAAACGGACCGTTTCCAACGCTGGACGTAAGAACATTATGTCGGTGAAGAGCTGCGTAAAAATTATGCATTACAAAATATTGTACCTTTTGGCTAGCAATGAAATATTTTCTTACAAAATATAATTAAAACGGAATGCATTGAATAACGCAAAGCTTTGCGTCTAATTATGTTCGTGCAATAACATTTGCGAAAGCAATACTGATTTGTAGGTAAATTGTAGCTCTCGGATAACGTAGAGTTTCAAAGTTGGATTAATAAGTTTAAAAAGAGCTCAAGGAGAAACTAAGAGGAAGGCTTATACTAATATTCTACCAAATGTACATGTAAATGAGGAAAATTAAAACAATACGACTTTAAGTATAAATAAAATACATGTTACCAAAATAAATACCTAAATGAAAAGCGATTTGTCTCTATGTACTTACATCAATTAGACTGTCGATATTTCTCATATCAACTGGTCTCTGTTGGAAGTAAAAGGCTCGTACTTGGTTTACGATTTTCGCCACCGCCTCTGGTCCACCAGTTGATAGTTTTGGAGGTATTACTCTTTGAAACTCATTATCTATCTCGTTCAGTAACTTGGGGTAGCGTTGGAGACCTAAATACCATCAAATTATAGTTGAGTATTATGAGTTAAATTTAGATATTGGACGTACAGGGCCTTCCTACTTAAATCATTATATAGTGCGTCAATCGTTGACGAGAAAATTCTAATCATGGAATTAATTCGTCTTTTAAGATAAAGTATTATAAATTATATTTGTTTTGATTGTTGTTGGCTACTTTACTCAACAAAAATTCCACGAAATTTAGTTCTTATCCACCCAAAAAAACCAAAAACAAAAAATATCTACTTATTAACAATTATTCTTATTTTTAACTTTTAATTTAATTTAATTTACTATACACCCTTACACACGATTTTCATTACTCACACTGCTAACTTTAATATTATTATTATTATTTTCTACTTAGTATTTTTTTTTTGCTACTAGCTGAGGCGCAAACTAGCTGCTGTGGTCTCTGGCAGAATGACCAGCGCTGTGGAACTTTTTGCTCCTCAGCATAATGCTGAGCCAGGGCCACTTAAAACCACAGCACACACGCATTGCACTCTTGAAGCGAACCGAATGGAAAAAGGGAATTTTTTATTTTTATTGTTTTTGATATGTCTTATTTTATTTTTTCTTTGAGTATTGCTATTTTGTGTGTTTATTTAAAACACACACATGTTTTCGTATGTAATATATGTTATGTCTATGTCTACTTCAACTTCTTGTCTCATAATCTTCAAATATATTTAGACCTTCAGCATATATTCGTCAATTAAACTTCAATAGCAGTCATATTTTATATCTGCGTTACAGACAGTAAAAATTATAATTCTTAATACGCGACGTGTTTCGTAACTGATAATTTACCAATGTATAAATTTTATATTTACACATTATTTTATTTCTATATGTGTATATAAGCTTATATTTATATTTATTTTCAATGGAACTTTTTAAAGCAAACTTTCTAGTTTAAAAATTGATGTGGTCAGATGTGTAACTGTAAACTCAAATAACTTACGCAGCTTTCTGTAACAAGCTACGGTCGTTCCCATTCGAATATAATGATTCTTTAACCGTTGTCCTTAAGTAATTAACTATAACTAGGAGTACTTAATAACACACGAAAGGCACATTTACCATATCATTATAAATTGTTAAACAAAAATGTTTGCATGCATATTATTTCTCGTGAACGAAACATGAATCGTATGACATAACGTACATTATTTGGGGCATTTTCAATTTCTCTGCGGTCATCTGTTATCTAACAAAAGTTGCAACATGTCTGTGACAATATAATTGGAATTGAGATGTCACAACTGCAAGACTATGTTTTAGGTTATACAAATATACAGAGCGATTAACATTGTCTGTAATGAAAAATCCTATTATATTTATGTAGGACAGCTAAAATGCTAATATTTTTTAATTAATTAATTTAAGAACCGTATTGACTGGACTTTTAAACCCGGATCGGACAACTGGTTTAACAAATATGTGAATATGAAATTGAATACATTAATTAAATTGACCATCGAAAAAAGTCCAAAGTTAATCCGATAAAGCTTACCTACTAACATGGAAATTTCCAAATGTATAAATTGGTGAATAATTAATACTTATGTAGTATATTCACAATATATAATTAATTTTAAATATGGTAAATACAAGTTAAAACAAAGGTACCGGAATTAATTAATTTTCTTTTAATGAGTTTAACCCGTTTTTTACTAGTCCTGTGCTTATCAACCGAAAATAATTATTTTTCCGGCATTCTACCCACATACTAAGAGTTATACAGCAAATGCGTTGACAACGGCAAACACAAAAAGTGATTATGCTTATATATGAGATGCAAAAGATAATTTACTTTGCATTGACCACAGCCAAGGTGTGCGTATCCAAACATTAATTATTGTCCGCTTGACAGGTGACCGCAGCCCCTTGAGGTAATATAGCAACAATTTGAAAACGTCGGATTTTAATTAGTAAAGCTAACGCGGTTTCCGCCAGTAAATGTACAAGATTTCCACGAATGGAAGTGGAAATGACATGAAACTAGAGGTTCTAATTTCCCAACACCTTAACCGAAATTAATGATTGAACGTTAGCGGCCTTGTCGTTGTACATTGAGTAATTGCGCTTTTGCGGTTACTTATAAATTCTATATAATTTAATGGACTGTAATTTAAAACAGACGAATTACAAGTATAACGAACATAATATAAGAGGAGACATGTGCAGTTATTTTCCTTATACAAGTTTATAAAGCAAAATGACACCTACAAAATATTCACCGACCTGTTATAACAACAATTCTAATACTACATATAAGGGGTTATTATTTATATAATGTTCCCATATAGGGGTCGATATCGATATCATAGCAAATTACGATTCAACATAATAATGTAGTTTTCAAATTAACATATATGTCTATGTTTTTATTACACAACTCACAAATTATAAATACACTTACGACGCAATAGAAGAATTCCTTCCTGTGCGTTATATCCGGTGAGAAACGGTACATCAGCGCCTGGGAGATAGGCCTTCGGCTCATCCGTGAAGAATGCTCCTGGTATATCAGGCTCAACACTCGGCAAGAAAGGCAGAGCAACAGTGCTCTGCAGATCAGCAGTTTTGCCAACGATTCCGAATAACCGCGCAGCAGCTTTCACTAGTAGCTCACTGGGTGTGGCACGAAGGTATCCTAAATATTAATAAAATATACATTATTTAATCCCACAACGTGTTTATTTAAACCTTTTTTTTTGCATAATTGTATTCAATCTGAAAGTTTCGTTCCCCATTTGGAGAAGGGACAAAAAATATGCAATTTTAGTAAATTTTTAGCAAATGATGACGCCGAAGTCTCTTTTTTCTACATAGAGTGAAAATGTCGAGTAGAGTATCGGGATAGCGTGCTATTCACTACAAGAATCGATAATTACCTATTAGAAACGAAATAACAAACTAACACTAATAAAATTTGTCTAGAAACTTCCATCTCAAATGCCAGTTTTTATTAATGTGTTATTCCGCAAAATGATGATAAATTGCCTTATTAAAATTCATAACATATAATTTACTTGTTTTGCGAAAAGTTCTTTTGTGTAAATTTTTTATAGTTCAGCAATAAACAACGTAGTTTTTTGCGATGTGCAAAAAATCACATAGGTAAGTTTTTATAGCGAAACTTGTTTCCTACAATGACTAATTGTATTTTTTCAACTCACAGACAATAGATGTGTTTTAAGCTTCGTAATTGAATTTTAGCTGAAACAAGTTTTGTAAAACATGTATTTGTTGTTTCCGACTTTAGGAAACCAACGATGTTTATACCCGTGACCACAGATTTCCGTGCCGAGGCAAGTGACCTCAAAAAAATTACTGAAAATGAAAGTTAAAACACGGTATTGGTCATTTATCTCCGTTGTATGTTGATAATCTAAATATCTCATAATACAATATATTAACTATAATGATACGTTACTAACACGCTAATATATTAATTAAAGCTCTAACGACGGAATATGAGCCACGAGGTACGTGATTCCTAAATCAATCACTAGCACTTGTCTATGATTCGTAATGTACTTATGTGATCTCTGGAGACACTTTTTCTCTCCAAATTGATATTTCCATCCATCAGGGGGAAAATGGACTAACAAAAAAGGACATAGAAACAAGGGCAGACCAAAAGAGTGATGGGCCGGCGAGATTGATAGAATAGCTGGCAAAAATTGGACGATGACGGCAGAAAAATAAATAGGTTGGAGGAGGCCTTCTCCCGGACGGGGGCCGCATCTTAGCTTAAGAACATTGTATATAATATATTTATATATATATATATATATATATATGTAGGTAAATTAGATGTGTGTGGATAAAGGCTTACTATTATTATTATAAAGGGGAAGTATAAACTAAGTCAGTTTAAACTAATTGTTCTCTAGAATCTAACTCATGATCAAGAATCCGGATCCTAAAGGTCATCATCAAGTTATTCAAGGGTATGGATTAACACCCACGGGCCACGCCGCTTCGCGTATTTATTATCCTTAATATTGGGTACGCATTGACGTCATCAATAATTTTGCAAGTGTTTTTGTTGTGAAGAAGCTTAAATTCCAAGGCTTTTCCACAAAAACTTTATTGGCGAAATGTTTTAATCAACATCTTGTTAACGAGAATAATAATGTTAAAATTTTATGATAATCACAGCGGAGACTTGTCACGGTGCCACTTATGGACCGTAGAGGAAAACATAAACAATATAAGGCATATATTTTATGATGAAACTTTATCTTAAGATCGATTAAATTAATTTGATTATAGTTGACTGTTTTGACTTTTGAGGCAAGTTATAAATATTAATGTTTTTTGACTTCTAACCAAAAACAAAATGTTGCCAACATAAACTGCCCAATTAACTTTGCCGATCCTCTTAGGAACCCAAGCCTTGAATCTTGAATACTCCTACACCGATTTAACATAATTTTTAAATGCAATAATCGTAAAGCTACTTAGCTTTACGACTTGGTAAGTACTTATTCTAATAATTTTTGTACTTACCTAACAATTCAGCCGTATTGTTTGTGTCAATACCAAGTTCTCGGCCCAGTTCAAAGGCGCGATTCTTCGGCTCCTTTGCAAGAGCCCAGGGGGATGTCGCTGATCCACTCTGCGCTATCGCTCCATGGAAGAGACCCTATCAACAATCGAATCTCAACAATCATGCTCGGGACCCTAATTGAGACCTAGGCACGTTAAATGCGGCAACAACATTTGGCCCTCATAGCTTATGTAAGATTACTACAAAACTTTCTCTTTTCGCAAAATGCATAGATAATAATTGAGATGACGAATTCTTTTACTTGCTTACCCTAGAAACTGGAGATAGCATATGCATATGTACAGACGCAGCTCCGGCTGACTCTCCGAATATGGTCACTCTATTGGGATCACCTCCGAAGAATTCAATGTTGTCTTGGACCCACTTAAGGGCCATCACTTGATCCTGTACGTCAAAAAAAGATTTTATTGCATACTAATCTACTTATATTAATGTTGTATCACGAGTGATATTTACCTTTAACCCCATATTCCCAGATACCTCTTCATTTTCCAAACTCAAAAATCCAAGGGCTCCGAGCCTGTAGTTGAGGGTGACTAGCACCACTCCAGCACCGACGAGGTGATCTGGTCCATACAAAAATGCATTTCCTGAACCCACTGCAAATGCGCCTCCATGGATCCATACCATTACGGGGAGTTGAGGATTGTACCTATAGGTGAACTTTGAAATCATTGAAGAAAATGTACTAAATATGTGGTACATTGTTGTTTAATTTTAATGTAACGTTTGTTCGTCAAGTTATAAGCGTCACTCGAAATTACGTAAGAAACGTTCTGTAATGTCATATGGAAGTGACTACATTATACTTCCTTCCCAATACTATGTTGCATAGTGCCATGTCATGCATAATGCACGTAACAGTATGTAATAAAGTAACGCGTTAATGGCATTGCAATAATAATTCTTTTTAAAGCTCTTTCGATATAGGAAACATGTCATCTTTTTTGTGTAATTAAAGTTTAAATAATTTATTATAGTATATAAACAAAATATTGTATTAAATATTGCGGCATACGTACCCCGACATAAGGTCCGGCAGAGCTGGTGTATAGACATTTAGAAAAAGGCAGTCTTCGTCGCCTTTATATGTATCGAAGAGCATAAACCTATGAGGGCAGACGGAACCTTCTTCCAAAGCATCGCGGACTCCTGACCAGGGTTCCAGTGGAGCTGGGGGCCGGAACCTAAGCGACCCTCGAGGCGGCTCTGCATATCTATAGCGTAAAAATTTCAGAGAAAATTCATAAGATGAATACTCTCTAGGTCAAATTTCATCTACTACGAGCAACTTTATTACAATCATAGATTTTAAAGTGGGACAATTGGTGTTGGATGAGTAAGACTTATATTGCAAAATCTGTTAAATATCAAGGTGGAGAGTTGTTAATTTAGAGGTTTCCAATTTTTAAAGGTCACTTTGGGCTTGTATTTGGATTGGAATTTAAGCAATTATATAGTAATGCTCAGATTGAACAGTACCTTATTCCTTTGAAACTATAATATGGTGCTTGCGGAGTGCTTCTCGCCACAACTCTGCGTCCACGCAACGATCCAAGACGCGTGGTGACCAAAGGGCCGCCACCGACGCGCATGCGATCCACTAAAGCATGGACCAGTCGCACTGCTCTCTGGGGCACATTCTGCAACCTTCGCAGAGCATGCTTTAGACCTTCCGATTCGCTCACCGTACTAGAGAGGCGTCTCCATGCACCCGTTACCTATGAGAGATACGATGCCTTAATAAATACAAAATCCAACAGTATACTCATTTATTGTAAACTGTTGTACAAAAAAATATGTTATTAACAATGACAATGGTTCAAATAATCGTACATATATAAGTAATCGTACTAATCTTTCTCTTTTTAAAGGATATCAACTATTATCAAAAATAAAATAGAGAATTCAGTCATGAGTAAAATGTAATTTAATTACACCGGACCATGAATATAAACAGTAATATATTCACATAAAAATAATTATAAGTCTATTGTAAAGTATATCAAGGTAAAATTTTTACTTTGAAACATGTAACTATTTCAATTATTATGACCGAGCTGTTGCAGACTTCATTATTTTACTGTGCAGTCTGCCGTACCTTATGCAGTTATTAATCTATATATTTATAGCCGTGCATTAATGCAATAATGCCGGGTATCCTCCACACAATACTAGAAATACATAGGATACTAAAAGTATCGGGAATGGAATAATACCACTGTTCCTGTCATATTTAAATCTTTTTAATTGAAATATCCTTTTTTTTTTTTAAATCGAATACCATTTTTTTTAAAGATTCTCGGTCTTTTCACAAAGTTTTGTCAAACTTGTTTAGTCGTTGAGAAAATGAAATTGACTCGAGAAAATTCAAGAGCGATGATTTATTATGACTTTCGGAGTGGTTTATCACAAAAACAGTGTGTTGACCGGATGATTTCTGCATTTGGTGATGAAGCCCCATCCAAAACCACAATTTATCGCTGGTTTGCTGAATTTCAACGTGGACGTGTCAAGCTCAGTGATGATCCCCGTCAAGGTCGTCCAAAAACTGCAGTCACCCAAGAAAACGTTGATGCTGTGCGTAAGCTGATTAAGGAAGATCGACATGTGACATACCGCGAAATTCAGGCAACTTTAGACATTGGCATGAGTCAAATACAAATAATCTTGCATGAACAATTAGGTGTAAAAAAAATTGTTTTCCCGATGGATACCGCATTCGCTCTGTGAAGAGCAAAAAGCGGCTCGCGTTACTTGGTGCATCAGAACTCTCGAAAGATTCCACGCAGGATCCTCAAATGCTGTATACAACATCGTATCAGGTGACGAATCCTGGATATACGCGTACGAACCCGAAACAATAAACCAGTCACGAGTTTGGGTGTTCGAAAATGAGTTAAAGCTAACGAAAATTGTTCGTTCACGGAGTGTTGCAAAAAAAATGGTGGCCACGTTTGTCTCCAAAACCGGCCATGTTGCGACTATTCCTCTTGAGGTACAAAGAACGGTTAATGCAGAATGGTATGCTAGCATTTGTTTGCCACAGGTCGTTTCTGAACTCCGTAAAGAGAACTGCAACCGCCGCATCATCCTCCATTACGACAATGCGAGTTCTCACACCGCGCACAGAACAAAAGAGAGTTAAGAGCAAGAAAACATAATTATTAGACCATCCACTGTACAGCCCCGACCTAAGCCCTAATGATTTCTATACTTTCCCTAAAATAAAGAATAAATTGCGTGGTCAGAGATTTTCATCGCCTGAAGAAGCTGTGGACGCCTACAAAACGGCCATTTTGGAGACCCTGAATGGTTGCTCAATGTGTCAAATTTCACGGAGAATACTTCGAAAAGCAATAAATACATTTTTAAATAGTAATGTTGTGTCACTTCCTTGATTCCCGAAATTTTCAGTGCCAAGAAAGGTGTAAACTAACAAGTGAAAGTTGCACACAACATATCTAAATATTCTTAATATAATGATCTATTTAATATTACACTAGGCCCAAAAACCCTTGGGGCAAAGCTTCTAATTTATAAATGGATTATTAACGTTGAAAGGGAAGCACGTTGAGTGGTAGAATGCGTTGGGCGTCGTATACTGAAGTACGTTTTATTACCAGTTACATAACTAGATGTGAAAAGAATAGGCCTTAAACTGTATACAAATGACTTGCTTATCATTGTCCAATTGCTTAACCAGATAAATTGTATTGCTCTATAGGACTGTGCCCTCGGCTCTATCGCAATTCCACGTGGACTCATTATACATTTAACTTTGTGACCTTCACCATCGAAATTTAGGACTTACTCTGTAAATAGATAAAATTTTCAGGAATGATTAACTATTGTCAACGGTTATGTTAAAGGTCAATCAAAGTCAGATAAAAACTACTAACGAGATAACTTCTTCCAAATTCAGAATGCATCTCAAAATACTCGTAATAGCCCCCACATACAAATGCCCTCCTCTTTGTGCTATTATAAAATGAAATACAACAAAAATAACCAGTAGAATATATTATTTAAATATATGTATACTACTTTAAGTCAATCTTATTTGGATATTATTAACAGTGAAAAGGTTATATCAGTTGATCTTGCACTTAGAACTAAAACTGTGACTATGTGTATTTTAAAGAATGTTTATTTTGGTTTCGACATTTAGAAAATAGATTTATAACTGTACAATACTTATATATAAATTTATAGTTCAAGAATAACTTTATAATACTAAAGAAAGTCCTAGGATATCAAAATAATTTTTAATACAATTTACCTTCATGGAGTTAAGGCTGCTAGCAGCGTTAGCGACGACATCGCCAAGAGCGGCCGGTGGCAAGGCCCCAGTTCTTGCCACCAACACGAATGCACACAAGACCACACAACACCAACGCGCGCGCATTGTTATCACTGATCTTCAACACAGATCTGTACAAAGTTCATCACATATTGCACTAGTTACTTAAAGTTCTTTAGCACAGCTCTCAAAGAACAGCATTCCGCAGCTAGTGAATTGTACGGAAACTTCTAGAAAAAAAAAATAATTTATTATAAGTAGATTTTAGGCAATAAGGACTGTATTACATTTTATCCATATTATATTATATATGTATATTTAATCCCGCCATTTCATCGAAACATGCATATTTACTTTACTTTTTCAAGTCAACGAATCAATGACGTTTAAACCTTTAAATGATTCTTGATTGAAGGTGCAGCGCATAGCAATTTTTTTTTTGAAGTTATACTTCTTTAGGCGCGTTAGAAAAATTATGAGAGGAATGCGCCACCTATGACACAAATTTGGTTTTTTGGGGGGGGGGGGGGGGGAGAAAAAAAAAAAAAAACCTTCAAAATAAAAGAAATAGAATATGCGTGACAGTTCGTATGGGGGGCGGGGAATTTGGAATGACCAAAATGACATTTGTCATTTCCTTTTAAACAAATACCTAAAGGAGTATTATTTTTCAAAAAAAAAAAAAATAATTTTTATTTTGTGAAATCCCGCAAAAGCAACAACATACTTCTTTAGTGTTTGGTAGAGATGTTCTAAATATATAATAATATATAATTTTAACTAAATATAATTTATGTTACACTTAATGTAAGAGGAATAATAATAAATAATTACATATTTAATTTTTCAAATGTAAACTGGAACTTAATTGACTATAATGACTCCTTTTCCAGTCTTTGATTATTTAATTGTAATTAATTATTTGCATGCAATGCAAAAACTATTTTTAATAATGCCAAAGAAGTTAACTTTACGCGCGTACATAAGTACACGCCCTCTTTTTTTTTTTTTTTTATATTGTATATTCTAGTAAGTATATCAACTGTTGTGTAATATCTGGTTATTTTTATCGAAACAAAACTTATTTTCAAAGAACAGACAATAATTTCGCTCACTGGCATTTGAATTATTGAATGGTTTGTCATAATGTTTTGAACAAATCAAAAGTTTTTTTTTCTTTATGTCGTCATATTTTTCTGAGTCATATTTACGGAGTCCCTTATGAGTCAGCGATACATATTTGACACGCTTAAGCAGTTTGTGAACAAAATAAAGATTACGTAGCGGAAGAAAAGCATTTTTTGTGACTATTTCGTTATAGTGTTAGTTTGTACTTGTAATCAAATGTATTTAAATGATAAAGATGTAAACATAGTGGAACATACTAAGTTAAAGTGTGACAAGTTGCTTTTTTAAGCAAACAACGTGAAAAATAGCAACTACAATACCAGTTTAAATGAAATTTTAGAAAGATAAATTAAAATTACAATACACGTGGAATTTCACTCCAAGATTTTATACAGTTCACGTTCAGGAAGTTCTTAGGCTTTATACATTGTATGAACATAATGTTTACATAATCATAGAACTCTATAGAACTGTAGCAAAGCGCTTCGTTCTCAATTCTAAAGTCACTTTCACTAACATTTGTGCATGAGAGTTAATGTTTACATAGCATCTGTAGTTCATCCGATATTAAAGGACTAGTTCAATGGCTCATTAGCTTAATTCGAAAAGTGTTTTTATTATTATATCATATCATTAATCCATATCACTGTCGTCGTGATTGTATCTATACTTCAAAAAACTAAAGACTCGAGCACAACTATTGCGAACCTGTAACTCTTTACCTGATCAAAGAAAATATTCGAAAGATCATATTCTCTTAAAAATTATAATGTTTTACACAAAACTTGACACAGATTTAAAGTACCGTTTCACAAAAGTGTAACGGGTGACCTTATTAAAAACAGTGTAAAAATATTAAGTACGTATTTAAAAAAATATTAACACAAAAGTTTTAATACATATATATTTAATTTTTCTCCATACATTTTTCGAGTTTATAAGGTCCTCTAAGAATATATAATTTTTATATGTCTTATTTAAGTGTACATAATTGAGAAAGTAAAATATAAAACAAATTAAGTTAAAAATCATTAATTTTTTATGTATAACAAAAGAATATATATACATGTATGTATGTTTACAATGCTTATAAAGACTTATTACGGTGTCTTTAAATACATAATAGGTTCCTTAATTAAAGCATGCGTGTGCACTGTGCATACATAGAGCACAACCCAAAGGTGCTGACTTCGATTCACAGCGTATCAATTATTATTTCTAGTTAAAGTGTAGAAGGCTGACTTATTTTACACTTATTTGACTATAAAAAGAGGACTTTAATATTAAACAAGAAAATAAAATGGCATATGCTTACCACCGGATTAATTTTAAGCAAAATATCCGGCAAAAGATCACAATCAATTATATTTTTTTATTGATTTATATAATTATTTAAGAGCAGGTAATAAAAGATTATTGTGTATGTGTATTAGTATTCGAAATAATTAATACTTTTTTTAGGAAAACCAACAACACGAGTTGTACTATGACCACTTGAAAATAAAAATCTGCAAGGAATTACAGAATTTAACCCACATTACTAATTACATAATTAATTTGTGAATAAACAGGCACCTACGTTACTGCGTGACTCCCGGTAAACACAATCCCGGAACGGCGAATAGCAATACGTTCTAGAAAACACAAAATCACCCTTGTTTATTTAAAGAAAAGTTCGTTATTTCGATTATTTTGGAAAGTTTAAGCGACAAGTGCACGCGTCTCTTGCCGAATACTTGACTGCCGCATGCGAGCGACGGGTCGCTGTTACTCAACTCCACCCACCACAAACCAGACTATTATCCAATACAATTCAATATGTCGAATAATTTATCAGCGCAGTTTTATGTTGCACGACTCAAAGGTTCCGGGTTGGATCCGATACGAATATTTGGATAAACTACAATTCAATTTGATTTTTAATTGATTATTTTGAAACAATGTTTTTTGTTACTTTATTTTATCCAGAAGGCGGTACTTTGCTTCTGCTACACCCTCCCCCGCGATGGGGTCTTTAGGACCGTTTGCCCCCTTCGGGTTGTGTGTTGGTTCGCGCCCTGCGGGGGCGGTACGGGTGCAGGCCCTAGATGAGGGCTGCGGCGCGCGGGGAGAAAAAGGGCTGGACTCGCAGCGCGCAGCCGGTGTTTTGATTTGAGTTGTGAGGACTAGGCTCGACTCAGTCCTGGGGTCGTATCCAGGGGTATCAAGTCCGGTGATATGTCGGGCCATGGAGTATTCTCGACTTGGCCGTGCGGTCAAACCGCGGTAGGTCAGATACCCGGTTGCCGGGAGGCCCGCGGTCGAAGCTGCGTTTTTGCTTTGGTGTCTGGTCCGGTGTTGTTACGAGTACCGGAAGCGATCTGGCGGCTTGAAATGCCAAGGCGCGATGTTTTGGAGTTGGGCCATGGAGTAGGCCCCACTGCGCGCCGTAAGGTTGTATTTTTGCGTTCGCGCAGTCTCTGGCGATTGCACTCGTTGGTGTAGGAGTACCTCGCCGGTGCCTAGCGCGAGCTTGGTGTGGAGAGGTAGATCGCCGGCGAGCAGTAGGAATTATAGACTTCTCTGCCTCCTTGGCTCTTCCTCGAGAAGGCGATTTCTTAATGTTTTTTTATAGGCTTAACGTAGAGCTGTACGAATAATCGGCACCAAAGATCCAAGGCAATCGTTAAATAGTTACTGTAATTGAAATTTACACACGACAGAGCGTTGTCACGACAGAGCGACAACGCTCTGTCGTGTGTCGTCCCACAACAGAGCGTTTTACTATAAATACGTCGTGTCATATTTGTAGGCATATATATATGGTAGGCAGCAGCCGAAACGTCTTTTGATAAAATGGATAGTGAGAAATCTACGGGAATTACTTAGTTGCGGAAGTCATCAGGTAATATGACATATTATATTGGCAAGTGAACTCAATGCCGAAAACCTCTATGTAAGGGAGAAGTAATCAGCCTAGCAGTTTGTTCGCACTAATATTTAGTAATAGTTGTGGCAAACGAAGTTCTAAAGAGTCCGAAAGGACGATCGCAGAAGAGCATGGGGAAAACGCTTTGCTGTAGAGGTAAATGCGATTTAGACGGGGCAGAGGGGTTTTAGTTTGGATATAGACATACGCTTCTCGGAGCCTCAGGCCCACACTCCCTACGCCGATGCCTAGCCATGGCACAGAAGTCTAAAAAAGAATTCCTCTCTGTAAGAAAAGGATAAAATAACTCGGAAGCAAGCTTTTGCTTAGTAGTTTGACCTATTGCTACTTATACCAATTATTTTAAAAAATAATTTGTAAAGTTTTAATTAGTCGATACGAAAGATAGATCAGGATTTATGGTTTTATTAATATATAAGAAATACAAAGCTTTTTTCATAAGACATTTTTTTAATCAAACTATATTCTTCTTAAAACCAGTTTGTTGTCAAGGCAACTTCTTGTATGCCAGTAATCAGTATATACATACTTCACATAATTACATTAAAAGGCAAAAAAAGATTGCTCATGTTTATCGCTTAGAAATATTACTGACCGACCCTTCTAAGTTCTAGCCCTATTTTGGTGAATTCAAGGTGCTTTTTGTAATCGGGACATTTGGCAGCACAGACGAAGTCAGTTGCCAACTGACAATTAACGTTTTACGTCAAACTTGTGGTGAAACCATTGCTGTCAAGTCTGAAAGTAAAAAAACGCGGGAAACCTTCGAATTTGGCGGGCGCAGTTTTTGTTTGAATTTGTTGTAAAATAATATTTTTAATCAATTAGGTGATCAGAATAGTTCAAACTTGTATATATTTGTAGTTTGTATTATTATTTATATTTTCTTCTACTTTCTTCGAGTTGGGGTAAGCTTTTCGGATTTTTATGAACGAGCCTCCGGACCCGGGGGGCACGGCGCCCCCCGCGGTTGCATTTATCACGATTTCCAACGAATCCGGTATGGATTCTGACTGCTCTTTGGTTTCTAAAAGGAAGCTGAAGCGCAGCCATCTCCACAAAGTTTGTAAACATTGTAACAAAAAAAAACGAAAAAGTAGTAAGGTCACCCGGGGCGAAAGCAACTATGGGGCTAAAGTGACTAATTGATTTTATTCACAATTTAATGATTTTTGTAAAACGTGCCATCTGTTGAAGAGTAGAGCAATTATTACTTTTTTTATAAAGTCTAGATGGAGCTTTTAAGTCGCTAACTGTTGTACTGACAGAGCATTTTTTGACTACCGCCATTTTGGAGCAAAGTTGCGGCGCAAAAATTTCACGTTTTTCCAGCCAAATTGAAGGTTCATCCTAACATAAAGATAAAACGTAAGTGCTTTTGGTATATTTGGTTAAAGGCTAAGTCTTTTAATTAACATTTTATTGACATAGTTACATTAACCTCAAATTTTTGTGCAGATGGGTAATGCAACTATTTTTGTAGTTGCAATAACCCCACGTTTTGGATCAAATCGTGAGTTCCGCGATTTCAACAAGTGAGTTCACTATATTTGCATAAAATATTTACCTTGGTACTGTGACGTATTTTTTTAAACTTATATATTGTTTTTGTTAATAATTTAATTGAATTTATTTACATAGAAAACTTAATAATACGTGTTATTGAAAGGCAGATTAGCTCACAATACATTCAACATAAAACATGAAAGCCTTTACATAAAGTTACGTTTTGTTAATCTGCAGAGACAGAACGATACTTACGCATCTGCCCAGTGAATCTCTCAATTCAGAAATTGGCAGTAAGAATTACTGGACTGATCAATATTATCCTAGGTTTAATGATTACTCACATAATGTGGCATTATTAAATGCCAATATAAGTCAGTGCATTAAGCATTTAAGTTGTTATTCCCAAAAACTTTAGAGACTGCTTTTGTACTTACTTTCATGTTATCTATTATCTTACTGTCCTTAGATTTATTTGATTATAAGAAATGTTAAAACCTTTTACTATGAAGATTTATTTTTTAATGAATCGCATTTTAATTCTTTACCTTAATCAGACTAATAATTTTTCGGTCCTTTCATCGAATTTTTTTTCACGAAGATTTATCGATAAATTTAGGTACGTACGCCAACTAGCAGATGGAGGAGTCGCATTCGCCCCATAAGTTTAAATTATTTTTCTGGAACTGAGCCTTATTCCCAGCACCTAGATACCAATTTCAGATACCTGTAGTGTGAAATATATATACCCTTATTCCAAACTGATTACGATTACAACAAGGTCATTTAACTGAAGTTGCATTAGCCTCAAGGTGGGGTAAAGAACTTTAGGTTATCAACAAGAATGAAATTATTCAATAACTTAAGCTATTTTTCACGTACTTTATGTCGGACTATTAATGAAGGATGGATAAGTAAGTTCATTTAAACAACCATCATAATTAGGTAGCTAATGGTGAGGACGACAAAGTACCAATTTATAAATTTTTAGTTGTTGCCCGGTGACTTACTGGAAGTAGTAAACACTCAGACTGTCAATGTAAAGATGTATTTCCTGAGAGCACTGTTAATTTGCCTACTATTCCTTGCACTGATACTACTTCAATGCCTGTTCCTCCCACCAGCATTTCTCCTAAAACCCCCACACAAATTGGTAGGGCTAGTTATGATGCCAATGACCATGGCCCGTTTGTGGTACATGTGCAGAAAATACAACGTGATGATAATGATAGTACAACTTTACACCCAGTTGTGTTTGGCAGATTTTTAAAAAATTATCTTTTTAAAAATATTGTAAATGGAAGCTTAAAACGTATTGGTAGAAATAAAATGACACTATCTTTTCATAATTACACAGACGCTAACAGCTTTATCACTTCAAACTGCTTACCTGCTAACAACATGAAGGCTTTTATCCCAACTTTTAATATTGCAAGGATGGGTTTAGTTAAGGGAGTCCCAACCGAGTGGTCTCCTGAGGATATTATGGAGAACACTAACGTACCCATTGGGTGTGGAGAAATTCTGAAACTCAGGCGACTTAACTATAAAGTCATGGTAAACAACACACCTACATGGAAACCTTCGCAAACAGTTGTGTTTACATTTGATGGACAAGTTTTGCCTAAACGTATATTTATGTGTTACAATTCTATGCCCGTTAATTTATATATATATCCGACTATTCAATGTTTTAATTGCTGCCGCTTTGGGCACACTAAGGTCCAATGCAGGTCAAAGCCTAGGTGTTACAAGTTTATTATTATTATTATTAATTAAATTAAATTAAGTTAAGTTAAAGTTAATTAAAGTAAGTTTATCATAAAGCAATGTATGTATAAGATAAATAAGATAAATAAATTCTTAAATTCTCTTAAATTCTTCTTACAAGTGTGGTCAGGGCCACACTGGAAATACTTGTAATGTGGAGGAAGACCTTGGTTCTTGCTGCTCATGCTCTGGGCTGCACTTTGCTTCAAGCAAAAAGTGCCCAGAGTATGTGAGACAAACCAACATTAAACTATCAATGGCAGAGAATAGCTTGTCCTATGTTGAAGCATCAAAACTACATCCCCCCATATCTAAGTCATTTGCAGATATAGTATCCTCTATCCCAACTAAATCTCTTCCTGGTGGAAATACAGTATTGCCTGGTTCACCACCTCCACATACACTATCTTACAAAAAAACTGTTTTTACTAAACCTAGAACCCCTCCTCAACAAAGTAAAGGTTACGATCATGTTGCACATGAGTCTCTTGTAAGAGACTATAATATGCCAGAGCCATCTAATGGTTGTGCATATCCATCATCCTCTAATGTAAACTCACAGACAATAGCAGAGCTAATTACCACACTAATCAAATTACTTTCACAACCCAATTTATCTATACCGTCCCACGCTGCTAATTTAATTCATACATACACTAATATTAATAATGGCCAACATGGACAGGCTACTTCAATGGAACTGCCGCAGTATAATAAACAAAAAACATGAAATTATACATATTATAAATACTTTTAATCCTTTTATTTTTTCTCTATCTGAAACCTGGTTAAAGCCAGATCATGTATTTAAAATCCCTGGTTATTTATGCTTAAGAGAAGACAGGGCTGATGGGTATGGTGGTGTATGCCTGCTCATCAGAAACTCTAGCACCTTTTCTTCCTTCCCTCTTCCTTCACATAGTGACAGCTTTTCTATCATTGCAGCTATTGTTGATGATATCTGTTTTGTCTCTATCTATGTCCCTCACCCCTCCTTGCAAATTTTCAATGAAATTAAAAACTT